AGTCGGCAGGTTGCCGAACCATTGCTGTGCAATTCCCTTGAGAGTCGCTGGGAAACACTTGCACCAAGTGGGATCATCCAACCCTTGAAGGTACATCAGGTTGGTGAATGCCATCAGATGGTCTTCTGGGTTAGTAGTGCCGTCATAGGCGCCTACTAGAACAATTTTTACTTTGGCCGGCTGAGCGGCTTCAGTAATTTCCTTGGAGAAGGCCGACGACTGTTCACCAAGTCTAAGCAACCGTAGCTGCCAGTCCATAGGTTGGACGTTTTTTGCTGCAGGTCCACCAAATGGAGGTGGCTGCATAAAATACTGTTGTTGCGGCACAAATGGTAAGTTTGGTACCGCCTGGGCACTATGAAAGCCGGACTGACGGGAGGTGCCGCCTGACTGACTCTCATGGTACGACTGAGTATGCCTCATCGAGGCATTTCGCAAACTGTCTTGAAAATTTGAAGTAGAAGCCGACTCTGATAATCGGTCACTCTTCTTCTGCTCTAGCAGGAGCCGAGCATCTGTGAACGTTTGCTTTGACCCGTCCGCCTGAATATGACGAACCGGTTTCCTATTTCCCGTAGGATAACGGAATTTTGTGAAATCAAGAGCAGGTGTCTCCCGCTTCTTGGATTTAGGATGAGGAGTCGCCTCTCGCCCTTGAACTGGCTTCCTCTTCAGTGAAGTGGAAGGTTTCTTGGCCGACTGCTCTTTGACTGAAGCAGGCGGTTTTTTATTGATCAACTCTTGAATCTCTCCCTTGAAGTCCCTCATGAAGGTCATGAGTTCGTTCCTTGTGATGGGAGCAGACCCATCAGTCGGCTGTTGCCGAGCAAGCGGTGCGCCTGCTGGCTCGCTTCCTGTTTGAAGATGCTCCCGTTCCCTCCTTTCGGTATGACGGGTACGTCGGGCCCTTAGGGTCCCGTCTGGAGCTGTATGAGTTTCAACTTCAAATTCACTTTCGGTATCATGGTCCGACTGAACTTGAGGGTCGTTTAGGGGACGCCTCTCTTCAGGAGTCGGTACAGACTTGGATGCCATCTCAGAAGTACTCTCCCCACAGACGGCGCCAAATGTTTCGGGGTTTTCTGATGTCCTGCGGGAGAGTTACAATTCCGAGACTGGAACCGGACGCCTGTACCTGCAAAATAACGGAGACTCCTGAGAGCTCCGCCTCCAACGGTCAAGTTAGTACCTGATTAAGGAGTAATTAATACGGAAATTAAAGTAATAAGGTCTCTCTAGGTGAGAGTGCTTAGTGTTGGTAATCTGCTTTGTTAGCGAGATCAGCCGGTTATTACTGTGTGTAATTAATGTATTTTTCGTAATCCCCCTCTTAATGAGGATTAAGGGAGGTATTTATAACCTTGGGAAACGTGCCCATCCTAGGTTTAAGGTAAACCTAGGGCTGATCGGGCCTCTAGACTGGATTGGGCCTTGATGGCCGGTTTTCCCATTTGGCATGGGTGGACACGTGGCGTGCCTTGATTGGTCCGTAGAGGACGTATCTGTGATTGACACGTGGCAAGCTCCTATTGGCCTACGTGAAAGACACGTGGCGGAACCTGGTTGGTCCACTTGTCAGACGGTGATTGGTGGATGAAAATCCCCTAATCAACACTCATAATTATTTATTGGTATTTCCTCACTCATCTCATGCAATTTTCTATGAACAAGTCGTGTATTGCACGGGCCAGAAGGCTAGTTTATAATAAATAGACATCAAAGTTAAACTTATTCTTAATAATTAATCAAAATTGAACTCAATATTGGAAGACTATCTAAAGTTCAACTTATTGTTATTAATTTTTCCTAATTATTTTAAATCACTAAAATTTGATTTTTAGTTATTAAAAGAGCACAACTTTATCAATAAAGTATGTGTAACTTTAAAATAAAGTATGTGTAACTTTAACTTATATTGGGATAACTTTATATATGATTTTTTTTTTCATTTTATGGGTAAATTTTGATTATTTTAGGGCAATTGTTTAACAAATTACAATACTTACTGTACACTCGATTTTTGTAAAAATTTGTGTTATCTCTAATTTTTTTATATAAAATGCCACATTTTACTTTTGCTACCCTTTCTTTAATGTTATAGATGTTATTTTATGGTTAACCATTAGCTCATATATGCTACTTATTAGCAAATAAACATAAAACATAGAAAAATGTTCTACTACATACATAATAGGTGACAGGTGGTTGCCTGGAGAAATATATTCAACCAATAGGATCGGATGATAAAAAGTACCAGGCCACTACATGCACAATAGTACAAAAAGTAGTATTAAGACAACTTATACTTTAATGGTACATTATACACGCATAATGACATATAATTTACCACGGCAGAGTCAGTTTTTTTACAAAAGCTTGCCAAATTTACATTTCTGCCCTCCTAGCTATATGCTTTGTAAATGTATAGTAGCTATGCGCCGAGATGCACTCATTATTTTATTGGATGGTACTCCCTTTGATTTGCCCCACTCTACTTAACATATACTTTGACCGTTACAATTACTCTTTTTGTAATGGATTTGGTCATGTCCGTTACAAATAGGCTGTTACAAATGACAATTTTTCCACTAGTGGGTGCATTGTTACATTTTTTTTATTTAAGTTTGAATAGTTGATTGAATATAATAATTGTGAGATTAAATTTGTAGTACTACCTCCATGAACTATTAGTCCCTCCATTCTTAAATAACTAACAGAGTGAAACTTGGCACACATGTCAATGCGTTATTTTAGCCTTAGATACATACTTTTTCTGTTTTTTTTATTATTTTTTTATTTATAGTTACAACACTTCTCTTTTCACACTTGTTGATGCATGATTTCAATCATTAATATCTTTAATTACCAATGTGTAAAAATTATAAACATTTGCTTTTAAAATAATATAAATCGAAACGAATCTAACAAGATCCCAAATGACTGTATTATTGCTTACGTATAAATCATCAAATCTAGCCAAAGTGAACCACATGAATAGTGTAAAGTCAAATTGTTGCAACTATAAAGAAATGGAGGAAGTATATGATTAAATATTAAAAAAACTATATATAAAAAATTAAAGTTATGAAACTATATAGTATTCCCTCCGTTTTTAAATACTTGCTCCATTTCTACATTTTGCATTATTCATTTATTCTACTTTAATTCATGTTTGTGATTTATTCATTAGAAAAAATATAGTCTTATGGGTACTTGTTGGAATCTTCTTAATGAATAGATTATTAATTTTCAATTGTTAGAATTTGTACTTAATGATAATTAAAGATATTATTTATCAAAGATTAACATCAACATATGTGCACAAGAGAAATGGAACAAGTATTTAAAAACAGAGGGAGTAATACTTATTTATATTAACAATATGTTTCATGATAAAATTTAGGAATTTTTTATTTTTACCACCTTCAAAAAACAACTTATTTGCTTTTACCACCTATATATAAAAAAAAGTTTTATTTTACCACCACATAAAAAAAATAAAAGTTGGCTTTTACCACCAATCACTGCCAACTAACGAATTCTATCCATAAATTCGTTAGTGGGGCCTATCATGTCCACGTGTCACCATAATATTGGGTAAATTTAAAAAACAAATAAAATAAAATGAAATAAATTAAACCCAGCTACCAGTCCCACCATCGGACCGACTACAAGCTAGCCCCACCACCAACTCGTCGTACAACCAGCCAGCCACCGCATTGCATGCACACCGCACCAACCACATCCACTGCACCCAAAACACACCAGCCACAAGCACAACACCCACAACGTACCGTCCCACTGCCACCGCACCACACCACACAACGCAGCACCCATAAAGCTCCCTCATACTAAATTTCAACCACTCCTAAAACCCTAGACCCACCAAATTTCGCACTCCTAAAACCCTAACCGCTACCTAATTCCAACCGTCCCTAGCCCCACTCGAAATTCTGACCAACCGAGGTGAGTCGATACTGCTGCCGGCTGGTTGACATGGAAGATCGAGGGAGATAAAGAGGAAACGCCAAAAGGTGGGCCCTACTAACGGATTCATGGACGAAATCCGTTAGTTGGTGGTGAATCTAATTTTTGGAAATTTTGTTGGTGGTAAAATAAAACTTTTTTTTTTAATGTAGGTGGTAAAAACGAATAAGTTGTTTTTGGAGTTGATAAAAGTCAAAATTTCTTTTATTTTTTATACATTATTTTAAAACGATGGTCAAAGTTTGTACGTATGTGAATAGTGAAAAAAATAAAATTAAACATGTCAATTATTTAGGAACAGAAGTAGTATGTGCAATTTTGGAGAGTATCGCAGACTCTGAAGCTAAATTTCCAAATGGTGTTTAACGAAAGTTAATTTATGTAATTAGAACTTTGTGGATGCCAATTGACATTAGGCGGAAAAAGACTAATCAATTCGGCTCCGTTTATTTTGAAGGGAAACAATTGTCACAAAAAATCACTAGGAAAACACTTTGTCAATGGAAAACATGATTTTAAAATCAAATGTGTCAATTTTATTGTTTTGCTTCATTTCTTTCCTTCTATTTTCGACTTTTCCCAAGATCTAACTTGCAGCATAAAGATTATCTAGCACATATACTATTAAATATTAATGCCATAAACATTAGGAACCACTTAATCACTAATACTAGGTGGGTAAACATACTCCATGATTTACTTCACTAATCTACTGAATTTATTATTGTTCCTATACTAGGAACCGGATACTTTGAAACAATAATCCAACAAACTAGTGACATTGTGTACTTAATTAGAAAAAAAAAAAAACAATCACAATCACCGTGACATTTTTTTTATATTATGTAGCCTCACATTTAACAATAATTTTGTTGATTTATTTATGAAATTAAAAGTAGGGGTGTGTTCTATTCACCTGATTTTTATTTATCTGGTCTTATATGAATTTATTAAAACTTATTTTAGTTGTGATTTAAACTTGGACAATCCTTATCAAAAATTATTTTTCCTGAATTGAGGGTCTGAACTGCACCCGCAAATCAAGAGAGAGTCCAATGAACTTTAGCCATTTAGGGTCCCATATCATGAGCTTTACTCTAATACCATGTTAAATCGGGTCTGAGCCGTACCCGCAAACCGAGAGAGAATACACTTCACAATACCAAAGGAGGTTCCATCCCAAAATCACATGACAATAAGAAGAGAAGTCCCTTAGCCTTTTAAAGTAATTAACTCTGTCATCTTCAATCAATATGGAACACTTACACGTGGTGATTCTCGAGACATCTATTCTTCAACAAAAACAAAACCTAAATCATTGAATTCAGTATAGCTCCCTATGTAGTATATTGAACCCTAAAGGTCTAATTATCCAACCCTTCGAGCAAATTGCTCCAAATACGCAAAAGCCCAACCCACAAAACAAAAATCAAAAATCCAAAATCCAAAATCCAAACCCTTACCACAATCATCCCTTCAATTCCCCTGTATTTCCCATAATACATCACCAAAGCCGCTGAACACCCTGCCACTTCCAAATCTCCGGCGACCATATCTCAGCGACGGTGAAATTTTCCGACCGTTCTCATGCATGGATACTTCCGATGCTCCTCCACTACGATGAGAAGATCCTCCTCCATCCTCACCACTTTCCGCCGCCATATTTCCTCCACCACCGCCGTCGTCACCGCCACCACCTCCGACACCTCCGATGACATCACCACCCTCCTCTCCTCCATTCTCTCTCTTCCGAATTGGCAAAAATACCCCTCCTTCAAACGCATCCTCCCTTCCATCTCCCCCACCCATGTCTCCCTCCTCTTTGACCTCCACTCTCTCTCTCCTCAAACTGCCCTCACATTCTTCTACTTTCTCTCTCATCGCCCTAACTTCCGCCACAATGCCCGCTCCCACGCCTCGCTTTTACCCATCTTGGTTCGAGCTAAGGAGTTTCAAAGTGCTGAGAGAATCAGGATGTCGATGATCAGGTACTGCGTACAAGATTCCGATGAGGTGAGGAATGTTGTAAACTCTTTGATCAAGTTGAACTCTAAAGATTTGGGGGAATTTCGATTTGGGTTGAATCTCAGGTGTTATAATTTCTTGCTTATGGCTTTATCTAGGTTTAATTTGATTGATGATATGATTCGTGTTTATAATACTATGTTGAATGATGATGGAATTCAGCCGAATATTTATACTTTTAATATCATGATTAATGGGTTTTGTAAGTTGGGGAATGTTGATGAAGCTCGGGTGTATTTGGGTAGGATTTTGGGGGCGGGTTTGAGCCCCGATTCGTTTACGTATTCTTCGTTTATTTTAGGGTATTGTAGGAATAAGGATTTGGATAGTGCTTTTAAGGTGTTTAGGGAGATGCTGCGAAAAATGTGTAAGAGGAATGAGGTTTCGTATAACTATATTATTCATGGTCTTTGTGAGGAGGGTAGGATTGATAAAGGGTTGCATTTGTTGTCTAAGATGGAGGTGGACAATTGTCGGCCCAATGTGAGGACGTATACGATTCTTATATCTGCGTTGTGTGGAGCGAGTAGGGGAGTTGAGGCGATGAAATTGTTTGATGAGATGAGGGAGAAAGGGTGTGAGCCAAATGCTCATACTTACACCGTGTTGATTGATTACTTGTGTAAAGAACATAAGCTCGATGAGGCTAGGAAGTTGTTTGATGAGATGTCGGAGAAGAGACTGGTTCGTAGTGTTGTTACATACAATGCCCTGATTGATGGTTATTGCAAGCAAGGGAAGATTGAAGCGGGATTTCAGATTTATAACCTAATGAAGACGAATGGTTGTTATCCTAATGTTCGAACTTACAATGCATTGATATGCGGGCTTTGTAAAGTTAATAAAGTACCCGTAGCTATGGCATTGCTTGATAAAATGGCTGCACGTAAACTAACTCCTAGTTTGATTACATATAACTTGTTGATTAAGGGGCAGTGTAAAGATGGGCATATAGAAACTGCTTTTCGATTGCTTGATTTGATGAAGGAAAGCGAGGTGCAACCTGATGAATGGACTTACAGCACTATTATTGATTCCCTTTGTAAAGCGGGAAGGGTCCAAAAGGCTCGTGCCATTTTTGACTCTCTTAAGGAGAATGGTGTAAAGGCAAATGAAGTAACTTTTGCTGCACTAATTGATGGCTATTGCAAGGCAGGAAAAAATGATTATGCCCATGCCTTATTTGAGATGATGCTCCAAGAGAAGTGCATGCCAAATTCTTTTGTCTACAATGTGCTCATTGATGGCTTGTGCAGAGAGAAAAAGTTGAACGAGGCTTTATTGTTGTTGAAGAAAATGATAGTTGCAAATGTGAAGCCAGACATATGTACATATTCCATAATTATTAATGGAATTCTCAAAGATGGCTCTCTTGATGATGCTTATAGAGTTCTAGAGCAGATGCACACTGCAGGTTATAAGCCTGATGCTTGCATATATACTTCATTTATCCATGCTCACTGTAGCAGGGGAAACTTAGAGGAGGCAGAAAATTGGACGAAGATTATGATTGAAGGAGGCGTTTTGCTAGATGTTGTCACTTACACTGTCCTTATTGACGGGTATGGTTGCCTAAGATCACTAACTCAAGCCTTTAATGTCCTCAAGCAAATGATGGATGCTGACTGTGAACCTTCTGAGCTTACTTATTCTGTTTTGATTAAGCATATTTTGAATGAGAAGCGGCTAATTAGTGAAGAAAAAGGAACTGGTACTGTTGTGCATATGTATGTCAGTTCATCTGATGTAGCTTATGTTTGGAAGGTGGTGGACTTTGAAACAGTTATAGAGCTCTTAAAAAACATGACTAAACATGGCTGTGCACCGAGCATTTGCACTTATAAAACTCTCATTGATGGATTTTGCAAAAGAGGACGAATCAAGGAAGCTCAATGGCTGGTTGATTACATGAAACATGGTGGAATTCAACCAGATGAAGGTATCCATAATTCCATCATAAAATGCAACTGCATGCTAGGATTGTACGAAGAAGCCTTCCAGCTGATCAATAACATGGTTACAATGGGTGAGTTACCACACCTGGAATCTTATACATCAATTATTTGTGGATTGTGTGCTAAAGAGGATATGAATCAAGCAGAGGCAGTATTTTGCAGCCTACTTCGTTGTGGGTATAATAATGATGAGATAGCATGGAAAGTTCTGATTGATGGCTTGCTGAAGAGGGGTCTTGTCGATAGTTGTTCTGAACTAGTTAAAGTCATGGAGAACAATAATTGCCACCCAAAACCTCACACTTATTCAATGTTGATTGAGGGTCTTCTAGGTATTTCAGAGGGAAAATAACCTATGATATCACCGTTGCTACCAAGTCAGATGTATTCTTTTTGGTTATATGTGCTCCAGTATTTTTATAAATGGCAATGTAGGATGTTATCCATGTGATGGATTACCAGACGAAGATATTGAAACTGCGGTTCATAATTCAAGGGGACCAAGATCTGCTTTATTTGCTGCAGAGGTTAATTTCCTCCTTTTACTGTTAAATGGCTTACCTCTTGTTTTAGCTAAGAGACAAAGATATCAATTTGGCTAATTGTTTTCAGCAGTCTAACTATAGCAAGATTTTTTGCAGTGGAAAATTTTAGATGAGCCACTCATCCATGGTTAATGAGCTGCAATGTTATGCTGTCCTCAGAAAACGAGTCGATGAGGTTGTGGGATGATTTTTGCGGGAAAGCCTTAACTCTTCAGAGAGCATTATAAGACACCTCATTGAAATGGAGGTATGTTGATAGACAATCTTGATTGCATTATACGAAGTGCTTTTAAGGGCATACCAAAATTGAAGTGAAAAAGGAAATTTTGTATTGTTTGCCATATATATCTAGTTTTGCTTTCTTAAATTTAGATGACCAATGCATGCCCTCAAATTAAATTTAAATCAATTGTCTGATGAGCTGGCAAGGTCATGTCAGCTAATTTGGTTTATGCTGGTATGAGCCAAGAAGTCATCCAACAGGGGAGACTGAAGAACGAAAATTATTACTACCTCCATTTAATATTATTTGCAGCGATTTGACATAAATAGAGAGGAAAATGTCTAATTGTTGCAAATAATATGAAACGGAGGTAGTATGTATAATCTTTATTTCCAAAACTTTATGGTACTGGGAAGGGGGATAAACTACTGTTAAGGACATATTCTTGCAACGGCTATCATGGTAAAAGGAAGATATCTGTTTCTACATGTTTTTTAATATCAATAGTTTGATAATCACTGTATAAAGACCATCAAAGGAATTCGAGATTCTCCAGATTACCAAGTTCAAATATATATCACCATTATTTTTTCCAAGTTTCAAAGCATTTTGTTAACCTTCTAGTGGTACCATATCTTCTCTAAACCTTTGAAGATTGATATAGCTTGTATGGGTAGCAGTCAAATTGATTGATTAAAAAATTACTGTTAAGAAAGTGCTCAGAGGTTGTGCTGTTTTAAAGTGGAATTAGGATAATTGCATTCATTAAAATCCATTCGCTTTACATCTACGAATGGAGGATTTGAAGCATTTTGTTTGATGACTAATATTTCAGCCAAGTATCTCTTTCACTTAAGGTATAGGAAAGATGTCTTCTAGAAAAAGTGTTAGTGGGCCCATGTACCTTAGGGATCTGTCATGCATGTGCTATGAAGTATGAACTCACCCAGACCCCCCCAATTAAGCAAGTGTATGTGTGTCGCTGTGGGAAGAGTATTAGGACAAATCTCCTTGAGTTGGATAGAAGAGCAGAGTGGTGTGAAGAGTTAATTACATGAGAAGAAAGTGACGACGCTAAATAACAGAGACAAGGGAAGGGGAATGTACTGAGCAATTTGTTGTGAACTAAGGAGATCGACCACCATGAGGGTTTACAGGAACAAATAAAATCAAAGTGCACATCTCACAAACGAACATGGGGAAGAATGGAGGCGGGAACAACACAGACAATGCCTGAACAGTGAACACCAATCACCCATAAATTCAAGTTTCATAAAGGATGACATTATACTGTACTAAACTGGCTCAGATCTGGAAATACGGATTGATTTGCAGAAGAGATGATAAAAAAAAAAAAAAAAAAAAAAAAAAGAAGACTCATTGCAAAAGAAGAAAGAAAAAAAGAGATCTAGAGATAGAGAGAGAGAGAGAGAGTTTTCTGTATAAACATTGCCCAGAGAAAATATTTTTGACTGCTATTGAGAGGCAGTTTCTCTCACAAAACAAAAAGAATATTCTGTCATAAATTATTATATGGAAGCCATTTGTCTTTGTAACTATTTGCTGCACAAATATCATCTTTATGATTTTTCGTATTCTGGATCAGGATGGTGGTGAATCTGACACAACTCAAGTTTCTCAAAGGAGTTCAAGATTTAGAGCAAATGTCAGGTCACTAGCAAATGGCTTTATTAAGCCACCAGCCAATGGAGTGATATCGGATCAGGTGCAATAATTTACTTCCTGGTTTATACTTCTTGATGCTAGAAATTTCACCTGATCTCTTTTGAAAAGTATAGGGAAGAACTTCATGTTTCTTTTATAGACTGTATGGAACATGCAGAGTTTAGTTGTTATTGCTTCATTGATTCCATGTATGGAATACTTTCTCAATTATTCATCTGTTTGACTGGATAGGGAGTTCGAGCAAGTACGGAAGCAGAAAGAAATTGACCTACCAGTAATCTCCTCCCCTTCCCCCCCCCCCTTTTTATTGGTGTATGTATGCTTGTAATTTTTTTCTTCCTTCTAGCAGTGTTTATATCCAGTCTCTTGATCAAGAGCACTGCTGGTTTATTGCTGTGAATAGTGTCACGATTCACAGAATTAGGATGTCATTGTCACTGGTCCGTACGTGCGAGGGAGGGTGATATTTATGCTTTATCAGTATGTTGAAATGTGCATTCATAATTACAATTTTCTTTTTGTGGATTCTTTTGGGAATGTATTGTAGATGCTGACCATGCAGTGGTGCTGGTTACTTAGCTAAGTTGTCAGAAGGGATATCTTAATCTGGCTACTATGCTGGTAAATGATGCTAATGAAGTAATATTTTCTACAGAAAATTGCACTTTGATACTAATCAATATCATAGGTTTTAGCTATTGAAGTACCCATTGTCTTGTTAAGAAAAAGTTATACATGGTAGACATTATTGAAAGACTGAGTTCAAACAGTATATTATCATAGAGATTGATTGCCTTTGCAATTACCTGTCAGGATTAATGATGTCAAGTCCTTGGCTTCAGCTTATAAGTAGTGAGACGGAGACCCACCTACCAATGATCTATGTGAGTGCATCTTCCAATTTATTCTTCATTTATACTTATAACTTAGAAGGGGGTTGAAACGTGAACATTTCAGATTTAGTCAAGTTACATGCATATGTTTGGCTTAGCAGGTAGATATTGTGAGGAGAGAGTGATGCCTAATTACTTTTACTTGTGTCAATACGGGTAACAAGTAGAGATTGTGAAACAATGAAAGCAGTTGAACAATCAATGTACCCAGAATATACTATGTGCATGACATTGAGAAATAACCTTTCATGTCCATTGGATTTTAGTTGGATATTCCATGGCACATCCGTTGCACCTTAGCAAATGCTGAATATATGTGGTCTGTAACACTTGATTTATACTGATTCTCTTGTACAAAAAACTCATCATAAAATATTGCCCTATGAAAGTTGCCACTTTGAAAGAATTTGAGCCATACACATACCAAGTACTCAATTTGGTCAACAGTTATATTTGTTTCACAGAATTACTGCCCTTATAAAACGCAATTAGTTGGGAAAAAGGAATTTTTGATAGTCACTTGATTATATATGATCTAACAAAAAAAAGTTGAAGAAGCTGCTAAAACTTTGTAGCCATATTCTATTTTAGCCAGCATCCGAAAGCCAAAATGGAGCGTGTTTCTTGTTGCAAGAGGCACTACAATTTTAAAAAGTCTACTTTGGGTAGAGTAGTAAAGAAACAACGATGGAAGAAGTTGAAACATATTTATCAAAACCCAAGAGAAAGATGTACTAAATTCATATTTTTCATCAGCCACAAAAGTAAATATAGATAAGTAATAATAATAATAATAAAGAAAATCAGCACCTGTTACGATAGATTCTACCATATGCGCATGATAAAAGGATGCATGGTAGGAATTGTCTTCTAACATATGGCATGGTTTTCTGTAATCATATCCAAAATTAAGGTGTAATTGAATGCATATAAAAATGATCACACTTAATTTGATGGTGGCTCGATCTACCAATCTACCATGGATGTCAAGTGTCTCGCAAGGGAACGAGGAGATGCAGGGTTAAGGAATTGCAGTGCAATTCTCCTTTGACAGAAAAGGTTGAGTGTGCTAAGCTTATACCTTACATTCTAATTTTGCCAAACGTGACTTGCCTTGTGATTTCCTTTGCATACATGTGGTGATATGAAAGGCAGTTTCTTATGAGCTAGAAGTAAGTTGGGTTTGTCTTGTTTAAACCTAGTTTGTTGACGATCTCTTTGTTTCTTGTAATCAGACTATCTATCTACATTGAAGACCTTGTTAACGTGTGAATTTGATATTTCTATCTGAAGGTAATAAATCTATCTTGATTATGTGCTTAAGTGGGTCTATATCCTTCATAATCACTTGAAGGTGTTGGGGAATTTGAGTGATAATTGTTCATTTTTGCACTACTTATTAAAAGATATGTACATTTTTTCTTAAGCTTGCTAATGTATATCTCTGCAAAGATCACTAAAAGCTGATGTCTTATTCTAGTAAAGATATATAAAAACTTCTATACTAGGGTCATGGTCATAGATTTAATTATTGATGTCCATTTTTTGACAGAAATCTCCTGTGTCTGCTGGAAGGAGTTCAGTTAACCTTCTTCTTTGGGGCATGTGCTAGTTATTTATACAAGCTTTGGAGAGTATAGAGAGATGAAAGATTCTTCTGAGATTGAATGCTTGATTAGTCTTTGAGATTTGAGGCTGAAAAACTCTTCACAGTACATCTACAGGGTTTATATTTATGTAAGATAGGTCAGTTTACCCAAGTGCCCACTCTTTTTAAGGGTTTTGGAAGCTTTCTTTCATTACTGTTAAGTGTTGGCATTTTTGGAGTATATTTTCCCCTCTATAGTTTTACTGTTATACATTCTTTAACGAACTTATCAGACTGTAATATGAATTGCATGCAGTTATATATCTGAACTTCAGTACCAAGCTTAGAAATCTTGTAAATAATTTGCCAGCACCTTTCTGCTTTATTTGTCAACTACTTATGTGCTTGATCATTACATGAGCTTCTTGAAGAGTCTGATAATATATGGATAATCACATTCAATTTGCGTAATTGACCTCTGAAACCAATCAAACTGCCAGATTTTTGGCTTTGATGTAATGATTTATTCATCATAAAAGCCATATTGCTTTGGATTTGTTTCAGAAACTACTGGAGAGTTTCCCTTAATAACAAGAACATGCTGCATGATCCTCGGCTTTCACTACCACATCTGGATTGACAATCACTTGAACATTGTCACCATTCTGCTACTCAGATTTCTTGTTAAGTGTCAAATTCATGACAAACAAGAGTACCTTTTTTTTTTTTGTCTAGCACAGCAATCTCTATTAGCTGTATGTTTGACAAGCATTCCAACTTATGATTCAGATCATATATGTTTTAAAAAAACACACACACCCAAAAAAAAAAAAAAAAGACCTTTCATCATTCAGCATTAGAACTTGGCAATGACTGATTGAGAAGTCTTTTGGGTTTGAGGCTGCAGTTAAGACTAAATGGAGTATAAAATAAGAGCGCAATTCTTGTTAGGCAGAAATTTTTATCACATAACTCTAATCATGTATGATATAAAATTCTGCCAACAAAGAAATTGACCTGTTAAATTTTTCAATCTATAGGTTGAACATCTTGATGGCACTTGTGGTTGTGTCAATGATTGATGAAATAGTAACCTTTTTTTTTTTTTTTTTTTTTTTGAAAACATGAAATAGTAACCTTTATACCGATATAATTTGTGATAATTCTGTGAACATTTCATGGTTTATGCTATGATGTATTCCTTATACCATATTACCATACCTTTTGTTTATTTGATTCTTTCTTTACTCCTATGGTCCCGATTTGCTAGGTTCCTCAGCTCCTCCCCTGCCTTTTATAGCTTTTCTCCAACATTGCATCGTAGCACAAGGAATTTTGTATGCGTGTCTAGCATGATATGTCTTATTTACACCTGTGAACCTGTCCATTCATGTGAGCCATCTTGGTGTCTTGGAAAAAAAAAAAAATCTTTTGTCTCCGATTTCCTCAGGCTGACCGTTAATCTTCATGCTAGACCTTACAGTTTAAGTGAAAAACATTACTTGTATGTAAGTATGTTAATAGCAGATAAGATGCTCCTCTAAGAGTCTGCTAATACTGCTAAGAGTGTGTCTTAGAGTCAGCTTACATGAGCTCCTCTAAGAGTCCGCTAATTTACCTCTGACATAAGACCATTAATATTCATGCTAGACTTATGACCTTACTGTTTAAGAGAAAAAAAAATATATATTACTCAGATGTATATTACATTGGATAGTGTAATAATGGAAACATCTTGTGAGAATGAGATAGAGATATTTATCTGAGACTAATTTAAAGAGAATACTTACAAAAGCTGGTAGGAGCATTATAGTGTTACTAATTACATATTAACCGGAGTATTACATTTCAAAGCTGTGTTGTTTTATCTTTCGCACTCATTAACCATGAACTACACAAAGTCACAGACCTTAAGCTTCAGATCATTCAAGCAAAGACACCAGCATTGTAATTTGTTGTCCAAAAAGTTCTTCAAACTGTCAACTTTTGCCAGGTTTAAACAAGAAACAACAGTATATATGTTATCTACTCGAATTGTATATATTCTGAACAGGTAGACCATTTGACTGTAGGACTATACAAATCTTGTGCACCTGGAAAATTTTGAGTAATCTGGTTTACCTTCTGAAGTCTTAAGCATTTATCAGATTATGAAGAACCAAGCTTACTTCCTTAACATAGGATGTTTTAGGTGCAGAGTTCTGTATACTTCTGCTGTTGAAGTCTGTACAACAAGACCATAAAAGTTGCATTACGAAATTCTTCTGCTTTATTCTTTTAGAGCACAGAAGAAATAGCAATCCTCCTGCATAAACTCTGAACTAGTAGCTTACTGTAAACATGCCTATGTGCTATGCTGCATAAGAATTACAAGACCGGGACAAAATGTAAATGGTTTAATGCGCCCAAAGAAAAAGCACATTTCATTTCACAATTGACAGGGAAAAAAAAGAAGAGAATTAAGAAGAAAAAACTACTTAGCTATTTCAGAAGCAATGTTTCAGACCGAGAAGTGAATCAAAATAACCGTGGTAGTAAATTACAGGGCAATTCTCCTTTGGCACAACAGAAGTATGCAATGTATAAGCATGGATTGTATGCCAAAGGAGAATTGCACTGTCATTCACCATCACCAACCACAATTTGTCTTCTGAAACCTCTGCCTAATTTGCTCGGGACTTATTCAATGCTGTATTTATACCTGAACTACTTGTATCCTAAACATGGATATTCCATGGGAAAATAGAGCATATGCTAGGACAGCACAAGTGGGTCTTCCCTATCACATTTATGGAGTATGGTCCCTAAGCTTTCTCCTTAATTCTTTCCTCAGTTAATACTCGGGAATCTTTAGCGTGCATCTGCATATCTCTTGTTTAGATTATACTCATATTGTGCATTAGTACAGAAAACAATGTCAAAACAGTCTTAGATTGTGATAGATATTGTGCATTAAAATCTTTATTTATTAATTAAATTCATAATGCAGTTCATAATATCAGTTTAACATGCTTGAGAGCTCAATTTCTAGAGGACTTCAGATAATTGAGCTAGTTGAGATTCATAGTTTCCTAAAATTGTAAGTTTGTTTTGAAACTCACCTCATATGTTTGTCAAAGGGTCTGGAATGTGTATAGTTACTTGACTAACTTTTTTGGGATCTCATAGCAACCATCAATTGTATGTTGTACTTGCATTCGTTACACGGAGGCAACGTAGCAAGAATATTTAGCAGAAGATAAAATGCCTCCCCTTGAAGGAAGTATATCGCCCATGACATATTTCAGCCTATAACTTTCATATTCTGTTCATAACACTTGGATGCTTCTTGTTTCTTATTGAGAATATCCTTGTAAGAGTTATAACAGCATAACCCTGCGTCTAGTACAACATAGTCTCACGGAATCAAATCTTGTAAGCAATTTGTATTCGAAAAGTTATAAAGTAATTGAATAAATGCTGGTAAGAACTAATGTAGGTAGTAATATGTCCTCTGATATCTCAAGGATATGCTGTTTGAACATCCTTATCAGTGCAACATAGCATGGGTCGTAGTTGAACCAAAATCTGTAGTCAAAATTGTGTTTATTTCGAAAGATAGTCAAGTGGTATTTGTCCCTCCTGAAGGGGCAGATCAAATGCTTTTAGAACAAAAATTAAGTACAATGCTAGAATGCCAGATTGTTGTGATAATAATCAGCACAATTTCTAAAGAAATTTATAAAAATATGTTCATATAGTCACATTTGAGTTATATATAAAGCAGTAGATAATTTTCTTTGGCAGATTATATCGCCTAATTAGTAGAAATCTAAGTTCATCAGTGTTTTCTTATGTTGGATACTTGAGTTTTTGCTGTTAATTGTAGTAAGACCTTTAAAACTAGCATGTTTTCATTATAGTTAATTGACCAACGATGTTGTCAATGTAGCTCCTTAAGCAGAGGTGTATGTTTTACTATCATATAACTACTAGTCCCAAAGCCTAATAGGACAAGGTTATGAGTCTAATATAAAACATGTCTGACAAAAAAAATTAGTTAGTTTTTTCTCCCAAAAAGCTAAAACTTAAGCACAAATATGCATGTCTAGGAACCATTGCAAATCATGACAGTTAGACTGCATGTTAAAAACATAATACACAGTATAATGCAAGTTTTATACTTTCTAATGAATCGAGTTACTATATTAGCTGTAGTCTAGTGGATATGCTAAGAATATTCCGTGTTTCTATAGAAAATACTGAACTCTAACATTAGCTATAAATACTTGTGCAACATGTAAGTAATTTGCATCAGTGCAACAGCAACTGCATGGCTGCATTACAGGGCAATTACTCCATTGGCAGGCAACAATTTCCTCTGTATGCAGTTTCTTAAGCAAAAATGGAGGAGTTTAGTTCACTGCCAAAGGAGATTTGCCCGGCAATTCAGATATGCATGGTAGAAAGTCTGGTAAAGGTACTCTTGGCCTTAAACTGGTTACATAGAGGGGGAAATCCTGTTTATTCATGCAGCGATGAATGATTCTTTGCAAGGGTAAGTTTCGAGTTTCTTTCTTTCAAGGTTTGCAGCTGTACTATAGAAGATAAAGCGAAGGGAAGTCATAAATATGCTTGGTTTGTATCCTTATTTTATTTGATGTGAATTCATTTAACATCCCTTAAAAAATAACTGTCACTGCTTCTAACATATCTTGATACCTGTGAATTGACAATACGACATGCTTACTCGAGTTGATTGATCTTAGTAAAGAACAAAATACTATATTTTTTATTTTGATGAGTACAACCCTGAACTTGATGATAATACCTACTTAGTTATGCATTGTGCATGTATTGTTTAGAAGTACAGTGTAATTGATGAAAATGTCAACAAAGAAACAGGTTGTGCAGAAGTTAGTGAGATGTAGTGTATGATTGCTTAATCTTGATTATATGCTTACGTTGGTCTACATACCTTCATAACATGTTGTCATATTCGTTTAACTTCCTTGTATAATGTATGCATATTCAATAATCCACATGCTTGCTAAGGTATTTCTCTGCATATATCACTATAAGCCGAAGGCTCTGTCTAGTACTGATGTACAAAAACTTCTAAACTTGGGTCATAGAGGTATATTATTGATGACATTTTGTTGACAGAAATCTCCTCTTTGTCAATAACTCGTCTGTTGGAAGCGAATTCACTTGACCATAAGACCACTTCACAACATTTGCAGTACTTTTACAGAGCATTTTTTGTAGGATAGGTCAAATCTACCTTCTTTCCCTATGTTCCACTCTTTGTAGTGTATTTGAGCCTTAATTTAGTTGATTTTAAGTGTAGTCATTCTACATTGTATCTTTAGTTTCTTTGGAGTACATTGCTTTCTTTAAAGATTTTTCTTATCTAACAAAGACCATAATATGAAC